ATTCCTCTAAGATCTATTTTAATATTGTTCACCCTCTTACGTCTTGGCTTTTCTAGTCGTCTCTTTCCTTCTGGTATTTCCACATAATCCTATATGCATTCCTCTTCTCCCCTAATTCGTGCTACATGCCCTGCCCATCACATCCTCCTTGACTTCATCAGTATTCTTCTTCTTCTTCTTCTTCTTCTTATTATTATTGCCATCATCATCATCACCACCAACTACATTCACATTACTGTATTGGTATTTATTTATATATAACTTACACCGTCAAAATTATAATTTGTCAATTTAGGTAAGACATGCGTTGCAAACAATTATATAAAACGTAAGTTTTGAGGTTTTCACGGCGATGACAATGAAGCAAGTTGTCTTCTGGGTTTAGGCACCGTGTATTCTTCGTTTTGGCCGACGTTTCGGAGGAACGTAGCGCCTCCATCTTCAGAGCAGTTGAATAGCTGCTCTCCGCAGCTATTCAACTGCTCTGAAGATGGAGGCGCTACGTTCCTCCGAAACGTCGGCCAAAACGAAGAATACACGGTGCCTAAACCCAGAAGACAACTTGCTTCAATTATATAAAACGTTTGCATTGTTCACTGACTAACTCCTTAGAGCACAGTCTTCGAGAACTATTCAAGAAATTGCACGCCTGAATAGACTTCAGATTTTCAATTTAGTCCGATGACTCAGAAGCGATATCATCCTTATAGCTTTCCAAATAAGGCTATTGCTCCTCTTCTTATCACATTTCAGTTGATCGCTGTAGTAAATTATAGAAGAATTCCCCGTAAAGCAATTTGCTCATCACTCTTCTTAGGCGCTCTCTCTCTCTCTCTCTTAGGTCCAAGTTTTCCTCCCTGCTCTCTGACACCATCAGTTTGTGTCCTTTCCTTAGAGTGAGACTAGACCTTCGTGTTATTTTCTTGTGCTAAGTGTCCTATTTATTTAATGTCTTGTTTTATTTATCATTCTCTTACTTCGGCTGCTTTCAGTCACTAATTTATAACAAATAACTGGGACCGAAATTCTCAATTATCGTATTATTACAAAGAATATGTGCTATTTCGTACATAAACACTTGTGCTTGTCTGGAACAGCTTACATTAAAATAAACAGACTAGAGTTACGGCGAAGAAACCAAACTCGAACGAATTCCAGGAATGTTTGCATATCCGTAGCAGTTCTAGCAATAATCGCATCTCGGATAAACCTCATTGTTGTAGTAAACCATAAAATACCAAAATACTCCAGTGAATCCAATCCAAAACACTCCATATGAAATCTGGAACACCATGCTATGTCTAACCAAACTTTATATGAAGATTTCAAAATATCATTAATACAAAATGTAATTAAGTCAAACGTAAGCACATATAAAGACCGAACAACAAAGCATGTAAACCAACTCATAAGTGACCTATTCACCCAAACCTTGGAAAAAAGAAGACTGAAGAAAATGTGGTCAGAAGACCTTCTCGATGATGTGTAACCACACGGAGAACCATTAATGAATGGTACCCGTCACAAGCCTTCAAATTTTAAACCATTTACTTATTTCTCATATCGTTACTATGGAGTAGATGGTAAATTTTCAAGAAATAAAATAAAAAGAATATCCGTTTCAGACACTAAAATATGTAGCTAGTTTTATTATACAAGCGTCAACATAACTAGTACGTAGTAAATAACCATTGTTACTGTATGTATCCTTATTTGTTTTATTATGTACATTTGCTGCATGTTTTGATTCAGCTGGATCATCATGTGGAAATTTTTCATTATTTGTACTGTTTGTTATTGCATTGTATCCCTATGTATTTCTAATATGGGTCCATATTAGTAATTAAAATTAATTTCTTTACAATACCTGTTTCTTTATATTTTAGATATTAGCCTGAAAATGTAAAACATTATTACTCCGTTGAAAATTAAAAGTTAAAAATAAAAAATAATCTTTTATTATTATTTAGCGTGGAGTACAAGTCTGTGATGTATCGTAGAATAGATATTTTTCCTTGGAATCTGCGTTGTTTTTCAATTCTTTGTGCACATATTACTTGGTGGTTTTCCGCATTTATGTGAAATTATGTTCTGTTTTCCGTTTTAGTGACGATGGTAAAATTATTGTGCATGTTGTATCGTGTCCTATTTAAGGCTGCCACTTCTTGTTATTAGGTAGCGGTTATTCATATTCTGAGGTTCTATTTGCACTCTATTCAAGAGTAGCATAGTGCCTCAACCAACTACGCTACCGCCTGCCCCCCAAGATTGTAATGAGATTCATATTAATGATAACNAAGTGTGATTTCGAATATTTCGAATATAAGCCGCACCCCAGTTTTCCTCTTGAATTTTTGGCAAAAAATGTGCGGCCTATACATGCGTAAATACGGTAATTTGAATTCGCTTTACAAATACATAGAAACACAATCCAATAACGAATATTACATTTCATGGAAAATTGCCTAATTTTGACCCAGCTGGATCGAAACCTGTAGCAAATGTACATAATGAAACGAATGATTATACAATAACATCGGTTTGGTCTTTGCTCAGTAACGATCCTTACATGATTAACATTTCGTAGCTAAATATTCAACTATTGGAGTGCTATATGAATTCTTTTACGAATGAATGAATTGAATTCACGAATGAACTCTCTTCTGTAAGTTCGGGAGGACCGAATAGAAGTTAATGATTCTCCTCTATTCGTTGTAGCGGAAATGCCTGGTGGTCCCAAGATTCCTCGTACCCACGGAAACTTTTGCTGAATCTCTGTTAACATGAGAATGAGTTTTAGAGAGCCGTTGCATATCAAATGGACTTCTGCTCGGTCTTTGCTATTCTGGCTTACAGGTGGTGTTTGCCGAAACGTTACCTAGCAAACGATGGTTGGAGCATTTGATTCAGACCCCCCTGTTCCCTGTACAAACGCTTTAACTTTAGCCAATATTTGAAAATATGGATAACGTGCCCGAAGATAATTACGAATTAGATGAAATCAGCAGACATTTTCGACGTTAATCCTGGAAACCGAGGTTCCCAATCATTCGTTACACAATATCTCAGCAATTTTTGATGGTACTAAGAAAAATGGAACCAGATTTAAAATCTGAACATTTAGTTGGGCTGCAAATTAAAAATATCCACGTAAATACGAAATATTGAGTTATTTGATGAAGTTAGGTTAAGCTTCTGCAACAGAGAGATTCTGTTCCGTATCATATATATATATATATTTCCTGTCATAACCTTCCTACCCAGCTCGATGCTGTCGATGGTTTGGATTTGTGTTCGGAAAATAGTTATTAAAATCTTGGCCGATCTACCGGCCATCCTTGTTAGTTTTGTCGTGGTTTCACTCAGTATCTCCAGTGAAACTCGGGACAGTATACTGAAGTCGGCGACGTCAGATTCCTTATAAATCCTTTCCTATCCATCATCCATGTTCATCACACCATTTACTTCGTCATTGCTCGATCTATTTGCATATTTCAAGGCAATGGATTCATCAAAACGCGGCACGAAGAAACTCCTGTATAACTACAATTAACTTCAGCCTACATGTTTCGGCAATATGCAGTACAAATCCAGCGATGAAGTGAAGTGTTAAAGTCATTTACTTGAGTTATGGCCTCCTTCCGACCAGGTTCTTTTCTACTTAGGAATTTTCTAATGTTTTTTAAGGTAATTAGTAGAAATTCTTTGACTGAGGATCAGACAGTCACAAGACCTCTACCGTCATAGAAAAATAACGGGCAGAATTCGAACCCTCAATCCCAGTGTTTGGGCAACGTAACCCCGATCGACGCCATAGACCTTTCTGAATATAATAATAGGCATACAACGAGAATGAGTCCCTTGATACTTCTTCAGATGGGCTTATTGTACTAACCCCCTAAAATGAGGGTAAGTCGGCGGTTAAATTCTTTATTTAGTTGCTGAACAACCCAAAAGTAAGTACGACCACATGAGGAAGACAGAACAAACACGCGTACATAAATAAAGAAAAAACAAGGTAACTTGTATGATTAAGACATTAACAAGAATTCAGTAATTACGAGTATAATCACGCCAGTCATTATGATATGAGAAAAAATAATTATGTATAGATATTTTCACGTATAAGGGGTAGGCGTGACTAATAATTTTTGGTTATAGATTCGATGATTGGATTTATTGGACGTCTCTATAACGATTACAGTTGAGTATAACAGCTCACACATTGAGCTCCTTCCGAACGAACACTGTTTGACGAGTTTCTCACTGCTCTCTGAATCTCAAGACTGGTCTCTAGTCTCTCGAACTCAGCACCTGCATCTGTGCACCCTGGAACTCTGCTACTGTCATAACTGCTTGGCGGCCCGCATAGAATGCACCCACTCCAAGGGTTCCACTACTGTCTTTCACATCTGCGTTGTGCCGGACGCTCCTGCAGTACCGTGGTAGCCAAACCCGTTGTGCAGCAACGGATCTCTTATTCCCGTCGACTCCGTAACGCTCGGGAACGTGTTCAGCTAACCCGTTGCCTTGCAATGCGTCACAGTATATTCATATCGATACAATTAATACTTTAATATGTAAGGAAGTCCCATTTATAAAATATGATCAAGAACAATTACTCTTCTCCAAGTATAATTAGAATGATCAAGTCAAGGAGGATGAGGTGGGCAGGGCATGTAGCACGAATGGGGAAGAAGAGGAATGCATATAGGATATTGGTGGGAAAACCAGAAGGAAGGAGACCACTGAGAAGAGCAAGACGTAGGTGGGTGGACAATATTAAAATGGATTTTAGAGGTATAGGATGAGATGGTATGGATTCGATTGATGTGGCTCAGGATAGAAACCAGAGGAGGGCTCTTGTGAACACGGTAGTGAACCTTCGGGTTCCATAAAATGCTGAGAAATTCTTGAGTAGCTGCAGATTTGGCTTCTCCTCAAGAAAGGCTCTGCTCCGTAAGTAAGTAAGTAAGATCAAGAAATGTTTTTGTTTCCAGATACGTCGACTTCCCTGTCAGCTGAAGTGCGTTTGAAGAACAGACACTGAACAAAGAAACATCTCTGATATACTCTGCAGGATCTCAAAGAAAAGCAGTTTTCAAAAGAGAACAGAATTCAGAACTAAGGTAAACTTGAATAAGGAGCAATGCATGAAGGCCATACCTTCCTTTTTTTTTTCTTCGCATAGTGGGGGGGGGTCCAGCTGGGTCCACTCGGCCCGTCGGCCACTCTTTGGCCTATTGTACCTGCCCCGGGTGATTATGATGATGGAGAATTTGGTGGGATGAAGATTGGCAGGGGAAACCGAAGTACTATGAGAAGACCTGCCCCAGCGCCACTTTATCCAGCACATATCCCTCTTGACCAGACCCGGGCTCGAACCCGGGCCGCCACGATGAGAAGCCAAAGACTGACCTTCCTTTACTTAAAGTGTGCAATTTAAACTGCTCTCAACACAAGCATAACTGTAACGGACATGGGGGAAGAAACAATTAAAAAGGACTACAAATTTCTGCTGGTTGAATTCCAGTTCGTTAGCACAATGATAATGGGAATACGGGTAGAAGGAATGTCCGGCTTTTATGCACTGCAAATCACACTACATTATAAATAAACACTTTCATTCGAAATGCAGTGACATTGGTGGAATAATGATGTAGTCGGTAAACAGGAAATACTGGAAGAAAAATCTGCCAAGCCAATTTGTCTACCACTCCCAGGTGAACTGCTTTGGCATTAAACCCGGGATTCCGGTGTGAGAAGCTAGCGACTAGCCGCTTGAGGTAGTATAAACATTGCTGCAGAACTGAAATTATCATTTTTTTAGAGCTGTAGGCCTGTTGCCGCGATGCGGCCACAGCGGAACACACCGCCTCGCGACGGATGTTGGGTTTCCTGTCGTCAGACAACATCCGTGTTTGGCCTCTCCACCTCCCTGCGGCGCGACCCAAGTTCGCAACAAGTAACAAGACTATACCTGGAACCTTGCGTGACGCACCAACAGCAATCGGAAACACGCTGTGAAACAGTGTCACCCCCACCCTTTGGAAAAAGGGAGAAACTAAATTTTTAAAAGCCGGTCACGGTAGCCGAGCGGTCTAAGGCATGTACTGTCGTCGCACGCTCGAACACTGGGGTCGTGGGTTCGAATCCCACTCGAAGCATGGATATCTGTGTGCGTTCATTCCGTGTTTATTTTGTCCTGAGTTTAGGTAGAGGCCTTGAGACGGTCTGATCACCCGTCCAAGGAGTCATACCGACTATGTACATGATTAAGAAACTGAAAAATCGTCCAAGGTTCAACGGGATGTAGAGCCGTAAAGAGAGAGAGAACGAGAGAGAAAGAGAGAAGACTACTTTTAGTAAATTGAAAAAATGTAATTGTTTTTGTATGGTATATTTCCTTTTTCCCATATTTTTTTAATTTGGCGGGGGGGGGGCAGATGCCTAGGAGTGGATTTCTATACCATACCAAATATTAAACTTGATTTTACATTATTTTAAGATCAATAAATCTACATTTACATTAATTTTATGTAATCACTGAATGAAAAGCTATATTTAAATACACATCAAGTCAAAGGAGAACTGAGGAAAACTATATTCAGAAAATTCACTGAAAAGTTTCTGAACAGGAGCACTTTCCGTGGATTTAATTTTAATGTTCTCTTTATGTATTTTAGTGCTCAAATGCTGAAGCACTTGAAAGCGTTTTTCACAACCAACAGTTTTTCTCACGCTCGGCAATAAAGAATTTTGTTATCCGTAAATATCATCTCCCTCAAACTCCCGCTGATACAGCTGTAATTTAGTTTTCTGACTTACTCTCACTTTCGGCATGACTGCTAAAAGCTAAACAAACTTAACCACAGACTAGTCACCAGTAATATAACGACCCCAGCTTTAAATGAAGAAGCGTAGCGAACCTGACGGAGACTTCGGAAATAAATAAATGAAGTCCATTAGCATTTGAATGGTACTTTGCTAGCAGCTACATGTGAATACGCTTCCGACTAATCCCTTCGCAGCCACTTTGATGGTACGCGGATGAGACAAGTTACGAGTAGAGGGAACGGGGAAGTCCCGTCCTGGGTATTGCATCAGAAACACGAATCCAGACTCAAATTGCTACTTGTAAGATCAAATGTTGCGAGTCAAGTATGCAGCATATCCTAATTTCGAAAAAGAAAAATTCTATACGCACGACGATTGAAAATTTGAACATAAAATTTAAAAAATATATAAAGTAATAAATATTTTAAAAGGAAAATACGCAGCATTAATAGAGATCTTCGAAAATATTTATCTTATTTATAAAACAAGCAGAACATGCATTTATATGCACCTCAAACCATGAATAAAATTTAAGAAATGAAGTAATTCATACATACGTGTATATACAAATGAGCAAATTTTTTTTTTAAATGTGTATTTGCATTAAAACCCGGTCCATAGTTATGAGTCACTGAGGTCTTGGCATAGGCCTACGGAAACATGCGGGAGTGTTCTAACAAATTTCACCGTAAGAATATAAGTAAATATTTATTTAGGGTTACATGCAAATGGGGAATTGGGTTATGACAGACAAAGATTTAAGAGATGAGAGCATATGTGTAGAAATTAGGAAGTTATATTGGATAGCTCTAAAGGTTACATCACGTAATTGAAAATTTGAAGTCCGTAAACTGTAACAACCTGTTACATGGGTACGATCCTCTGTAAATTAAAACTTGACCCATAATGTAAATAAACAGCAAATACAAGGTAAAATTATTCTTGTGCTTAACTAATTAAGCACTATGACGTGAAGACATGTGGAGCAGTAGAGGTATAGATTCAGACTTTCTTGACCTTGGCACTAACTGGAGCTGAGTGGTCACCTTCACTCACCATTCGCTTTATCCCCGGGGTAAGAACTCCCGGTACCCATTGGATAGGAGGCTGAGTGGACCCCAGAGCCAGTCTGGGCGACGTGGAGAAAATTCTTGACCTTACCGGGACTCGAACACCGAACCTTCGGTCGAATAATTATGGTAAATAAATAAATAAATAAATAAATAATAAATGAAATAAGCATAACTTTCAAAGTTGACATAATTAAACCTGTTGCTTGTTCTGACATAAAATATTCAATTGGGGGTTTTTCTTTAGCAACCATCACTTTGCCCGCGCCATAGCTCAAGCGGTTAGTAGCTGAATTCCCACCACCGTGGCCCGGATTCGATCCCGGGTCTGGTCAAGTAGGATTTGTGGTGGACAAAATTGGCGTTGGTTGGGGTTTCTCCGAGTACTTCGGTTTCCCCTGCCAATCTTCATTCCACCAAATTCTCAATCATCATAATGACCCTGGGCAGGCTATAATAGGCCAATCAGTGGCCGCCGTGCCGAGTGGACCCAGTTGGACTTCACCCCCCACTAAGCGAATTAAAAAAAAAAACTTTTGTTTTTATTGTTCATAGGGTCGTATTAAAATATGTAATCGATACGGAATAAATGAGTCAGTAAAAGATAAATTAGTGAAGACTGTAGTAGCAATTTGAGAATTTTCTGATCAGGATTCCTGAACGGGTGGTTCGTCAGTTGTTGCTCAAGAATCACAATGGTCTGCTACTTCCAACGGCAAGCACTACAGTTCTCACTTTCTTCTTTCCTGCATGAAATCGTTTTGCAGGGACGTGAGATCCATGGAGCAGAGCAGGGACAAAGACCCCGAGGAGTTGCCGAAAGATGGAGGGCGCTCGGTCATCACGACGCGCCGGCAAGTGCGAACTATCACCACTACGGGCCATATCACCACGGGACACGTCGCCGATGACGACGAGGACTACGATGATAACAACCAGCAGGTAGCAGCTGAGTAGCGCTCTCTTAGAATTTAAATTTGTCAATACACTTCCCTTCTCGTATAAAACAACGACCAGAACAGAAAAATGCGACGGAGGAAGGTATTTTAGCTGACATTTTGTCTATAGAAAAAAAATTATACATCCATTTTGTAATGACTGCCTTTATGTTATGTTTAAACTTCATGTTGTAGTATTACTTTGTAAGAAACAATTATAATACTGTACCTTCGCTACACAAATATGAATGTTGTGCAAAATCGTTATTCAAGTTACACACAATATGCGACTGATGTCGTCCGGCTGTTCCGTTCTCTTCTGTTGCTCCAAAAAAATCCTCGCTGACGTTTCTACTCCCGGATTACATCGATTAATCTAGATCTTCCTCCATTTTCCTATTCTCGTTGTATCCACTTCGGGCAATTTAAGCGACTTTTCGTTACTCAGAGTCTAACTAAGTAAATTCATGGAGCTGTGCCCTTCTTGAGAAGCCGTCAGTTGCGCAGCTACTCGAGACCTGCCAACATTGTATGGAACCCGAAGGTTCGTTATCGTGTTCATAAGAGCTCTCCAATGGTCCTTATCCTGAGCCAGATCAATCCAGTTCATACCATCCCATCCTATCTCTCTAATATCCATTTTAATATTATCCACCCACCTACGTCTTGGCCTTTCTCTTTCCTTCTGACTTTTCCACCAATATATTATTCATTCCTCTTCTCCCCTATTTACTCAGTCTCTACATATATGAATATCGTGTTAATACTTTCTTTTTTACAAGCTTGAGAAAATGTCATAATAGGATCTTCATAACTAGTACTGTTCACGAAATGTAAATAGAAAGATCAAGTCATGAGGATGAAATGGGAAAAGCATGTAGCACGCATGTTGGAGAAGAGGAGTTCGTACAGGTTTTGGCAAGGAACCCAGAAGGAAAGAGACCACTATGAAGACTAAACGTTTGTGGAAGAGTAATATTAAAATGTATCTTAGATCAATAGGATGCGGTGTTATGGACTGGAGCTCTTATAAACACGGTAGTAAACCTTCGGGTTCCATAAAACGTTGGGAAATTCTCGAACAGCTAAGTAACTGGCGGCTTCCCAAGGAGGATTCAGCTCCACGGAGTTAATCCATAAATAAGTAGTTACTATAGGATTCTGACGATGGTGTATAACACACAGAGATATTGGGTTTTCGGACTTCTAAGGGACCCAACAGAATAGGTGTTTTCCCTCACCTGAGGACGGAAACAGATCCAGTTTCCGAAACGTCGTGTTTTTCTTAGTTATCTTAAAAAACCAGGACGATGGATAAAGTCCGAAAACCCAATATCTCTGTGTAGTCAATAAATAGTTTATTTTTCTTGTGTCTCTAAATACAATTTATTCTATTTGCCACTTAATTATTCACGTATTTCGTCCTCTATATTCTGAACGAATTTCGGGTTGGAACTTACTTCAGTTATGCATAAATTCTTTGTGAATTTCCGTCGCCGTTGTTCCGAGCCAAGTTCAACATATTACTGTAATACGCACCAGGAATTTCTTCAGCTTGGTAACAGGAAGAGACCGCTCATGTCTGTGGGGCTTATTTCTAGTTAACTTCCTGAAAGAGCCAATATTGAATGGAAAAGAAGAGAATAGAACTGGAATGGGGAATGAATTGGATTTGCACGAAGTTATTGGATAATGTACGAAGAACGTACATCTTACAGTGCAGGATTCAAACATGGAGGTTGGTGAGCGATGGTTTGTCTCGTCGACGCAACACGTTATAAAAACTTTATGTTCTGCTTTCAGCATCTCGACCATGGTCGGCAAACAGTGACGCCCTCTCTCAATAATCAGCAGCAACAGCAGTTACTGAAGCGTCAGGCACTTGCAACGTCATCCCCACATAACAATGACGTGTCCATGACGCACAGCCCGGCGCCACCAAACAACCACACACCTCCAGGTTCTGTGAGACAATCACACGTCTCCCCAGCTGGGCAGCTCGTAAGTAAATCTGCGTGGTATTGCAGCAATTCGAATCAAGTTAATTTCTTTACACCGTCTTTGCACAAAGTGCACGTCCATCCATGCGTTTCTTCTCCGAAACTACTGAACGGACTTCGATGAAATTTGATACCTGAGGCCCACACTAAAATTGTCTAAGTTAATTTCCGTTTTATTGGCCTAACAAACTCCCTACTTTAATCGGAGCTCATATCCAACTTTGTCTGTTCCCTGACATACAACTCTTCTTATATAAATTGGTGCACGGCACAAATTATTATTATCAGGATTTATATATTCAGTATAAAAATTGTCGATGAAGTCAATATTTAAAGAAATGTTAGGAGATCATAATTTATAACTCTGATCAGTGTGATGTTGTAATGTGATCAGCTTTGAACTAACAGGTTTGTATCTGAAGTAGAAGACTATGAAGGCCATCACTGACAAACAATGAAGATGGCATCAAAAATTCATTTGGAGACCTATTTCATTTGAGAATATCTTTACATTCTTCGCTTTGAACTTATGAAAAAGAAAGCTTTCTCGAAAAAAAAAGAACTTATTTTTGTAGAAGTCACGAGTGACCAGGCCTAAGTGGATTTGGTATGATGTGTGGCGTATATTACAATTTCTTCAGTCACTCAGCGTCAAATGGTACGAAAATCAGGAATAAGTCCCCTCAGGCTAGGTATCCTGTAGGCTAAGAACCTAATCCGGAACCTCCTAACATTAAAAGATTTCAGCTTTCAATCAAAGCGCAGATCTGTCAGGGTTAAATAGTTTTGTCTTAAAAAGTTAGTACGTGACGTGAAATGTTACACGGTTTTCGGTTCCTTAATTAGTTGATATAAATCTTACATGACTAGCCATAACAAGGCATAACTGGAAAGGATCATTTTCGGAAGTCATAGGATTTTTTAAAAGAAACAGTGGAAAATGACTTTTATGTTTCACAAATGATCGAAAACAAACTCTCAGGAAAGTACCTTAATCTAAAATAATATCGTATTTCTTTTTTATTGCTAGTGGGGTGAGACTAAGTCCCTTGTACTGCGGCCACTTCTGGCCTATTGTACCAGCCCCAGATGATAGGTGAGGGTGATTGTGGAGCAATTGGTGGAATGAAGATTGGCAGGGGAAACCGAAGTACTCGGGGGAAAACCTGCCCCAGCACCACTTTGTCCACCACAAATCCGATTTGACCAGAACCGGGATAATGTAAGTTGGAAATTCAGGATGTTACATAATAGCAACTTAGAAACCTGTTACAAATAGGATGACACGGTATGCTGTGCATGAAACTCGAATCGCAGACAGAAGGGAAGGAATTTTGTGAATAAACCTCATTGAAAATGACAACACAGGCGAAGGAAAGAGACATGCGAGGACAGAGATACGAGTACAATGATCTTTAGTGTGGTTAGAGAGGTGGATGACATTATTTCAGAATCGTCTATAATGGCGGTCTATATTATCAGTGTTTCCGCCGACGGAGTTCCTCAAGTCACAGCTGCAGGCTTTTACTTTTCTTACAGATAAATACCAAAGAAGTTGTCAGTATCAATGAGTCTTCACCAAACGCACAACAGCAACAAAGTTATCAGCAGCAGGTGCCGTATAGCTCTTCTCCGCCTAGTCAGGTGAGGTACACGTCACCCACAAGCCATAGCACCGTCGTGCAGTCGCAGCCCACCGTGTGCTACACCACCACGACAGAACATTACCAGCAACCGCAGCCCAGTCCCCCACCTCCCCTCCTCGCAATTCAGCAGCCACAAGTGGCCACAAACATCCAACATCGTTTCACACCTACCCCTTCGGTAGCAAGAACTGAAGGCAGTGCGCAACACCGGTACGCGTCACCATCTCTGGAGCACCAGCAACAAGATGCGCCACAGCACAGATACGCCCCTCAGACCCACCAGTTGCTTCCAACACAGGAACAGCAACATCTACAGGGATACCAGCACCATAATCATCAAGACATGACTCCTCCGCCAGATCTAGAATACATTCATCATCACCATCAGCTGAATGCCTATGGTGATACAGGTGATCAATCATTACAAGTTAAGAATGAAGGTCACGACGAGGGAGGGGCTGCAGGTGGTGCTAAGTTGGCACAACTGCAGACGCTTAAGAACAATGACGCCAACGGTGGCAGCAGTGCCTGTATCACTCCTCCGGGCCCTGCTACTTTGACACAGCAAATAGGCCAACAAACTGACAGTCAGGGGACTACGTACACCACACTGGAGACTGTAACCTCAGCCAACAATTACCATGCTTCTTACAGCGAGAATACCGTTCACTCACCGTATCAACTGCAGCAGGCTTCCAGTATGTCGTCTCCTGGGTATTCGCAGTACCTCCCCAAGTCCTCCAGTGCAGAACTGTACACCTTGTACCCTACGTCAGCTGGAGGAATGGCAAACAAAGTGGTTTCCCTCGGATCTTCAGAAAGTCCGCTGATCTACACAAGAAGTGATCCTACGTTGACCTCAACTTCAATATCCGTGGATTCTAAACCTTCGGCCACACAACTTTACAGCAGCCTACAGGGACACAATCAGTCCCTGACTTATGACCAACACCAGCCACCAGGATCTCCGAACTCACAGCAAGTCACTCTCTACGGCCACGGAACCGCGGCGAGCTACATAAGCAAGTTCTCAATGGCCGCCGATCCGTCTGCACAGTACTGGACTACATCTGCAAATGGATCGCCCACGGCAATTGACTACGTCGGGTCAGGTTATGGAGGAACGGCGCTACATAACTCTGTTGTTACTGACGGCGTTACGACGTCGTCTCCAATGCAACAGACTGCTTTCACAACATTCGGAAGTAACGGAGGTGCAGGGCCGTCGACATCCTGGAACATGTCGTTTGAAGACAATTACGACGCAAGTGAGTACAGTTTAGTAATGATTTGAGTTACATTTATATTTCTCAGTAGTTTAGTACTGGAGAAAGTTAGTTAGTTAGTTAGTTAGTTAGTTAGTTATTGGAGAGGGTGGGTTTCCCCATGCACTTAGACCTGTATTGGTCCATTGTGCTTCCCTCTATGATTTCTACCAGTCTCTATATCCTACCGGTACTGGTGCTTACCATCAGTCCCGCCCAGCCAGCTAGACCGGCTCTACTAGCTGAGGGGTATCTATAATGCTTCCCCCATCTACCAGAGGTATTAGAGACTGCTGTTTGGCGGGAAACGTTCGTAAATTTGGCTTAGTGACCTCCTTTGAAGATATGAGGTTCTTTTACATGCCGTAAAGCTACGACACGGGACCCACGGCTTAAAGTCCCTCCCGGAGGACTTGTTCCCTGAATTTTTCCGCCCTTGAAAATTCGACGACCTCCGCCGGGTATTTGAACCCGCGAACTACGAGTCATGAGGTGGGAACGTTACCTCTAGACTACGGAGGCCGCTTAGTACTGAAAAAAACCTCCGTTCGTCTCCCGCATTTTTCTAAAAAGGATTTGTACTGGAATTGCTTATTTAATATCCCATTAATCAGTTTTCTACAATTTACTGCCTTGACATAACAGAGTCATCACTTTCTGAATTAAATGAATGTGCAGATCATTTCTGCAAGTGTAATTTTGTGGTGGAGCTTGTAACTGTTTTGCGATTTAGTTTAATTTTCTTCCACAACAGGAGAAAAATTAAGCTCTTTTGTTCACCGTGCTCTTTGCGTCTGTCTTTGAGTTTGTGTTCCCTGTTACAACCTTTGAACCAGATAACCGACTTTTTGGAAACGTGGGTCGAAAATGATGCCATTAAAGGCCAACACAGCTTCTTTATTTTTAATTTCCTACAATCTATAGTAACATGGCTGAATTACGGACTTTGGTGGTGGAAGCTAAGCTAGCAAAAATTAATCTGGGGTCCTAAAATATGTGATGAAATCTTCAAAAAGTATATAAAATTTCTTACGAAATTATTCTTTAGAATGGAAAACAACAAAAATGGCAACTGCGTGAAATCAGTATTAAGATTTCCGTTAGATAATGATAATTAAATAACCAATAGATTTTCTTTCCTCTCGCTCCCACTTTGGAGCACAGGGCCGATTTTTGAGTTTCATTGATCACTTGTACACACGGTAGAATTCCTTGGACGGGTGATCAGCTCGTCGCAAGGCCTCTGCCTAAACAGAGGACAACACAAACACAGAATAAACGCATACACACGCCAAATATCCATGCGTTGTGTGGGATTCGAACCTACGATTCCGGCTTCCAGTCGAGAACACAGTTCGTGTTCGCGAGAACGTGTTTATCGAGCCGTTGCCCAGAAACTATCTCATGAACAAATTTGAATTTCGTTTTAAATTATAAATTTGAATTACAATAATATGGCATTAGCAACACAAGATTTTCAGGGCTCTAGATCAGTGCAATAGACGGGTAAGTTTTGTTGAGTTGTACTTTAAAATCATAGATTTATGAACAAGGCTGTCTCGCTTGTTCCAGTTCAAAATTAATTCAAGCAATATATCGCCCATGCTTGGTTAGGACCCCTTAAAAGAAAAATGAAGGTCAATACCAAATACTAGAACACAACATAGATGGAATAGACATAAAATAACCCCTCGAGCCGGACTGGACTGCGCGATCCCATTGTTCGAAGGATCCACTATTGTAGTCTCATGGCTTCAAATGTTTAGATATAGCAATGATATTTACTGAGTATTCCATGATGCAGATTGATGCCTGGCTTGCGACACCACGGACTGAACCAGTTGCCTCACATTTGTCGCTAGAAATGACATCAATGCTATGCCTTATAATCTGCTTTTGCGTTTTTTGTAGCAACGCCAAAGTATACTTATCTGTAACACTGAAGTGGTTACGTTCGTCATGAAACGTAACCGACAGGTGTATCATGAATCTCAGCAATGTTCAACACGCTCTGCTATGCGTATCTTCGATCAGTACGTTTTAAACAAGCTAATGTCACGGCGTGCAGTTTCCTTCTCGGTTTAAAAAGTGATATCTCATTTCTTCGAGGTTTTCCTCTTGCTATCAATCCTACAGGTTTATTACGTTGTACTGGTTTTTAAAATGTAAAATCGGAAAATCCCTCTCTCTGTTATTTCAATTAATTTCTTAATTTTTATTTTTTGCATAGCTTCTATATTACGGCTATCCAATTGTTGCATGCTCGTATCGCGGGGTGTTCATCGAGCCGTTGCCTAGCAATGTTTTGAGCAAATCCGTTACAATATAGTATAACAACGAACACCGGGCGAAGGACAACCTAATGAGGGAAAAACACAAAAACTAGATAGAATTCTACATTCAATAATATAATTTTAAATTTTGGAAACTTTTAAAATTATTGCAACTTCGTGACTCTTTCATGTACGTAATTATATGATTGTGATAAGTAGCACTAATATGGATCCATATTAGGTCAGTTGAAAACAAGAGACGTATTTGGTGAAGAAGGTCCCAAATATGGACTGAAACATGTAGCAACTATCAAATAATACCTATGTGAGCAGTTCGATTGGTTCATTTTTATTGTTGTGTTGACGGAAATATACTGCAAAGCTTTCAAATAAACTGTTCGTTTCCATATCAGGCAACATGCTGGGGGTGGACATCAAGGAATGTGTGAATTGCGCCGCCAGTGTGACGCCCCTCTGGAGGCGTGATGGCACCGGCCACTACCTCTGCAATGCGTGTGGTTTATACAACAGAATTAATGGCGTCAACAGACCGCCCTTCCGCAACCACACCAAGAAAACTAGCTCGGTGAGTTTATTAGTATTGTTATTATGATTGGAGGGGGTGGGTTTCCCCATGCACCGCGACCAGTTTGATCTATTGTACGTCCCCCTGTGATATTCTACCAGTCTCTATATCCTACCGGTACTGGTGCGTGCCATCAGTCCCGACTCAGCCAGCGAGTTCGGCCTCTACTGGCTTAGCGGTATCTAGATGCTTCCCCCATCTACCAGAGGTATTAGAGACTGCTGTTGGGCGGGAAATGTCCTTACAAATTTGGCTCAGAGGTCTCCTTGAGACATGAGGTTCTTTTACGTGCCGTAAAGCTACGACACGGGACCTACGGCTTAAAGTCCCTCCCGGAGGACTTGTTCCCTGAATTTTTCCGCCCTTAAAAATTCCACGACCTCCTCCGAGTTTGAACCCGCGTACCTTGAGTCATGAGGTGGGAACGTTACCCCTAGACTACGGAGTCCGCTAGCTCGGTGAGTTAGTCTCTACTTAATTATTCCGATCAGTGTCATTTGGAGTACTTGCACATGGGGTAGTTTTCAACGCTTCGACTTGAAAATATGAATTGAAAATGAAAACAAATATAAAATATTTGAGGTTTTCACGGCGGAGACTATGAAGAACGCCGTCTTCTGGGATGTGGCGTCGTGGCAATAANGTTGGTAGTATGCGTGTCCTTATCCTGATGAGGATATTGCCGGCGCAGGCTGCAATGAAGAGAATGGAAATTTATACCCAGTTTTGTAAAAAACGACTTTACAATTGGTTCCTTTACACTTTGACATGCATGATTAGCCTTAGTATGAAAACCCGAAAGAAAGAAACTACTAGCAAAATGTGGACATACACGTAGTTGGGAATAATATTAAAATAAATCTTAAAAAAACAAGTGTGGAAGAGTTTTGACTGGACTCATGTGGCTGTGGAAGAGGATCTGTGGAGAGCAATAATGAGCCTTCGGGTTTCATATTATTGTCACGTATTTATAGGCGTGACTAATAAACGGGGGTTCGATCGGTTTATTGGATTTATTAACTACTCCTTTTAAGATACTCAGCCGAACCCTTCCTCCTGGACTGCCAGGTCTCCATTCTTTTTCTGGTATATTTCTGTTCTCTACTACTTATATTGTCTCGAAGGCAGAGCCATAGAAATCACCGCTTCCTCTATTGTTGTATATATAGCGCCGTTGCATAGCAACGGAAGTTATTCAATTGTTGCCTGCGTATTCATTGCCGCGGGAATGTGTATACAGAGTCGTCGCCTAGCACTATGTATATCGTACATGTCATAATAGTCTGGGAATATATTGAGTGGCTGAACATTAGTGAGCTCTGAAAAAGGACTCAGCTCCATGGTATAAGCTAATCAGTCTCTCCTCTCAACGGAGATGGCTCTGTTTTGCACGCGATACAGACACTGCTTGAAGAAGTGTTAATATTACTGCTTTCTTGTGTTAACCAGACCGGCAATCGGCGGACAGGTGTCTCATGTGCCAATTGCAACACGAACACAACGACTTTATGGCGACGCAACAACAGCGGAGAGCCGGTATGCAACGCCTGTGGTCTCTACTTCAAACTCCACGGGGTAAGTATAACAATTATTTATATTTTGCATGATGACAATATATGTTCGTACTCTTAGAGATCTAGAATTAGAATGGTCAAAGATGATGTAGTATTCATACCGCGTCTCATGAATATTTGAGGACTGGTTCTAAGGAGACACACATAAGGAGACACGAGGAAGCTAGACGTACTGTGCCTTTATATCGCGTCACAAGACGCGGAAACTTGTCTGAAATTTTAATATTATAGCATTGCGTGCCCGCCAAAGTAGTAAACTAGACGTGGCATACACATTACAGAAGGACATTCTATAAATGCTACAGAATATCGTGTAACTTAAAAAGAACGTTAAAAACTGAAATAAAAAAACAACCGAAATGTTATTAAGTCCTAGAACTACTGAATTCGTTATGTGGAAGTGAAAATTATACAGTTAAAGCAAGGAGAATAAGTGGAATATAATACATAGGTATAGAAAATATTATATATGAATTCATTGCTAGGTAATTGCTTTTTTGAAACACAACTTCGAGGTTGTGACAGAGACATGGATTCCTACGCAACACATACAGACTCATTTCCGTTACAAATGCTAGATAGAAACTGTTCACACAGCAACGAAAGACACTTTTCGATGACAACCACAAGAACGAAAAAGTGTACCGTTCCACGGAGTGTTTCATATCGGTCCGTGTGAAGCCAGCTTAGATCGAGAGAAATGACCAGACAGAGGGGATACAAAAGACAAGGAATATTCTGAAGAGTCCCACTGAGTGTCAGAAGCCCAATGCGAGGACAAGACGGAAGAGAGAAGCCTGGATACAGACAAGGAACATCTAAGAGTGGAAGTGCTGAAGGCTTTACTTTATATGTTATTGTGCCAGTGAGCTTTCGAAGCGTTATGATTATTTGTAGTTACGACTGGTGACTCTCCAATAAATCGATTCATCAATCCAGAGAACCCATTAATTACTAGCCACTAAAGAAGACAATAGGAAAGAAACGAAAAAGCACTGAGTAAAAAATAAATTAGATGAACAAATACAACTTGATAAAGCTTCCGGATAGAATGATTGATAAAAAAGAGCGAAAGAGTATCTGTGGTACAAACCAAAAAGACTCCGAGAACAGGGAATATTTGGGGAAATATGGGAAGTCGTTACCTCTTCCACGAAGAGCAGAGGAGGGAATGCAAGAAGGCCAGAATGTAATTACGCAAATTAATTGAATTCTCTTTGTTTACGTGTAAGAGGACGGGCAGGTGCTGAAGCTTCAACCCTATAATACGATGAATAACGTGGGAATGCAGACAGAAATAATTTTAGTGATATATAAGTTAATACATAATTCAGTTTCCTCCAGTTGTTTCTTTTTTGGATGTCATGCTGTGTTGGTAAGCAATGAGATCATTAAAGCCTATAGTTTCCCCAGATAATTCTCCTGCACAAGGAAGTAACCTTTAAATTATAAAGCTTCATGTCTCAGACTTAAAAAAATGTGCGAAATGAAATTTTAAGTCTCTCTTGAATAAATCCATAATTATGAAATTTCTTGAAAATCAATAGTTGCTTAGCTGGGCAAGAAAATTTCCCTTCTTTGTGGTGAGACCCGAAGGCTCAAAACCTTGTTTACAACAGTCATTCATGAGTTAACCGTTCCCAACCGACATATTAAATTCGTGTTTTTCAAACGCAAATTCGCCCATTTACATTTATTTCTGTCGAGTTGATATCTTCCCACGAAGTTTTCCAACTAAATGTCACACGAGTTCCTTCTCTTTCTTATATATGCTACTAGTCCTTCCCCCCCATCTCATTCCTCCTAATGCAATTACCCTAAAATAGTACGTTAATATTAATATTAATTGACCCAAACCACTGTTAACTTGATCTACATAGCGTTTTATGCAGTAACTACCGAGTTTTCACGTAGAGATCTATTATTTTAACAACTAATAAGCATATTAACTTGTCTGTGGGAGTTGAAAATGTAATTATTCTTTTTCATTAGTTTGTTTATTGCCAACCGTCGTCCTATAGCTTAAACACACACACACAGATACAATATAGGCACTATGCTATAAGCCGGAAGGTCACAGGATGGAATCCCGATGAGGTCATTGGATTTTTTCAATTTACCTAATCCTTCCAGCCACACTATGGCCCTGGAGTCGACTCAGCCTCTAATAGAAATAAGTACCAGGAATCTTCCTGGGGCTAAAGGGCGGCCGGCGCTTAAGTTTGACAACCTCACAGTCATCTGTGAGCCTCATCTTCTCACAACTTTATGGGTTCCTTCACGGCCTGTTACAGGGATACCTTTATTTATAAATAAATAAATAAATATATATATATATAAGGCTTACAGTGTTGAGTAAGAGAATGATTGTATGCATTGGCAAGTTGAATTGAGCGCTCTTTTCTTATTTTACAACAATTCGCCTTTTCTTGGAGGAACTGAGGGAAACCACGAAAAAGCCCAGACGGCTGTTACGAAGAGAATCTAAGCCCTGATGTCCTGAGTACGAGGCTACATTCTACTGAAGCATAAGTGAATTTATGAGATTTCTTTCCAGGCACTAAGTACTATTTAACATTAGGGCCTATTCCAAATTATTTTTGTTTTGTAGGACAGGTCTCTTCATTAGTTGCATCCGTTTAAATTAAATTTATCATATTTAATTCTTGTACAGATGAGCTGGAACAGCTCACTCTCTATGGAGACTGTTTACGGACCCAATGAGCGGGGTTGGATGGTTAGCAGAAGCACTGGTTTACCCCTTAGCTACCACATCCAAAGCCGTCCCGCGGCCCACTTATTTTTCAGTCGAAAGGGTACAGGCGGCTCTTTATCTGGGCGTAAAGAGACGGGGGGGAGGGACTGATCACTCACCACTACCCAGTACCGNGCGAAGATTGAGAAGAGCAATATATACAACTATCCCCCCCCCCATGTTTTCATGTTGTGGTGCTTTGTTAAGCACAAGGAACATTTACCTTTACTTTATAGAATCGGCAATGTTCATGGCGGAACACTTGCAACGAAGTATTCGATGGACACAAACATGACACACTTGTTAATCTTCGATCGAATTAGTCCTTATCAGAGACAGATAACCGACCTTTATATTGGCTGCAAGCATTCGTCCACATAGTGAAGCATATTACACAAGGACAGCTTCACACGATCACATTTTTTATTGTATTTTCGCGACTGAATCCGAGTATGAGTCGTACCGACTAAACCAAAAAGAAAATGTCAAGACAAATTAAAATCTTAAGGCTGGCTGTCAGACGCCTTTAAAGCGGTGAGAATTCTCTGGCGTTCTCATTGTCTCCATTTTTGATGCAATGCTTTAAAGTGAGACAAGAGTTATTTACGAAAAATCAAACTGCGGTTCGCAATCATCTTGGTGATTTGCGAAATATTTCGGCCCGTCTGTTTAAAAAAATTGATGATAACGTAATCTTTATATATGATGTTTGATAAGTCCTAAAGGCCTTGTTTCGGAATTCTAATGAAAGAAACTTACATAAATTTATATTGTTAATTATTTGTTTCTCAGATCATTATTACACCCATACAAATCACTAACCTGATCCTGAAGAAAATTGCTCAAAGAGCAGTAAATTTTCAGGTCCACGTATCTTTCAACATATTAAAAATCTTCAAAAATCCAATAAAAATATCTGTGCTCGGTTATCTGGACACCCCTGCATCCGGTTGCACGGATAATATGTACTCATGACAGAGAAGCGATACCGACAGTTTCGGATCTAGAATTAGGCTTAAAATGTTTACCTGTCGGCTAAGAAGTCTTACGGATTTAAGCAATGCATTCAGTGATATTTTCCAGAATTTTCTCGTAGGTACAAAGGGAAATAGAAATTATTTTCTAGCATCATCCGTCGGACTTTGATTCCGAATAATTCCATAACAATTTGTAGTATACACGTATTCCACCGAATGGAAAGAGAAACAAGCACTGTCTGGATTGTTTTATTATATATTCCATCACTCACTCACTCACTCACTCACTCACTCATGGAGCTGACCCCTTCTTGAGAAGACGCCAATTGTGCGGCTATTCAACAACTTCTCAACATTTTATGGAACCCGAAGGTACATTACCGTGTTCATAAGCGCCCTCCACTGGTCCCTATCCTGAGCCACATTTATCCAATCCATACCATTCAATCTTAGATCCATTTTAATATTGTCCAACCACCTACGTTTTGGTCTTCCCGGTGGTCCCTTTCCTTCTGACTTTCCCACCAATATCCTATGTACATTTCTCTTCTCCCTATTCGTGCTACATGCCCTGCCCATCTCATCCTCCTTGACTTGATCATTCTAATTATACTAGGAGAAGAGTACAAGTTATGAAGCTCCTCATTATGCAGTCTTCTCCAACCTCCTGTCACTTCTTCTCTCTTCGGTTCAAATATTCTCCTCATCACCCTGTTCTCAAACACCCTCAGTCTATGTTCCTCCCTTAATGTCAGAGACCAAGTTCCACATACAGGAAGACAGAAGTAATGGGCCAAGGCACTACAGTGTTATCTTGTGCGATGTGTGTTATTTGTGTGTTGTGTCTTATTGTAGTACCACTGCCACCGGGTGAAAACCCATTTGCAGTTTAAAATAAATAAGAAGAATAGTAATGATATATGAAATCTGGCGCTCAACTCACTAAACTTAACGGCCCCCACACCGTTGCTGCGAAGGGAATACTGTATTTCCTGAGGATCTAAAACTAATCAGTCCCCATACAATAATAATACAATACTTTCACACTATCTGAAAGAACAGGAAAAGAATGCTCAGCCATCTCCGGGACATTCTCCATTTACGCATAAGAACGCCGCTTTTAGCCATGAAACGTTTGTGTTTATGGCGGAAATGGGCGATTCCCTCGAGACTTGTCGTAAAAAGAGGAAAAGTGATGACGTCATGGTTGAGGAAATATTTTCTCTTTTTGTATCTGCAGTGACGTGATGAAAGGTGAAGGGAGTTCAG